AACTTTCGAATGTCGGCGGTATACCTGGAGTGAAGCAGAGGGAGCTCGAGTGATCATCTGTACATCCCAGCTCGATTGTTTCGGCAATAGCAGCTCCAAGCTCCTCTCAAGCCTTCTTCTTTCCTTCTTTGCTCGAAGTTCGTCCATCCCTCTGGGTGTTTTATGATCCAGGTCACTTTCTTGTTCATGAACGATGGAGTAGTCAATCGCCAAGGATCTCCTTCCAATGTCAAAGATCATTCGTTCCATTCCAACTCCCAGCCCGAAGCCTTGTAACATAGGGATACTGTTTCCAAATTTGGTAACAGTTTTTACCGCTCCTATCATTAGAGAAACTAGATGATGAGCTCTTGATGGCATTCCCATGCTCCAGACAGCTTTTAGATCATGTTGCCAGAAATACGTTAGGCGGATTTTTGGGCCTGACGGACCCGGTACTTGTTGTATAACCCATGCAAATACTGAACAAATCATAAGCTCACGACCATGGAAAATTTTAGTGTACTTACGATGAACTTGAGATCTTACGTAGGGAGGTGTGGGTCGCAAGTAAGGCGGCTCATCAGGCGAACGGGGCAAAGAAGTCGCCACATCCAGTAGGGTGGAACCGTCACTTATGGTCCGGGAAATTGTTATGGCATCTCTGGGACTGAATTGATAATGTAAATCAGCCAGCGAACATGCGAAAGATAAGCATAGGTCCCATACTTAGCTGGCCATCCAAGCGTGAAGTAGGTCTTTGTGATTCGGACATCCACATCAAATAACTCGATTAGTTGCGAGCTCTCTACACCAGGATCCCACTCTTGTCTCATTTCGGGCGTCGTCAGGACCGCCTTCCAAGCGTTCAAGGAAAAGTCCTCGATTGGGATGTCGTACACCAAACGAAAAATCTCTCCTTGCTTACTGGGCCTTTTATGGATAATGACTTTCGACTCTTCGAAAGTGGTTGAAGAGCCATCTTTGGGTGTGTCGGATACTACAGGGGGTACGGGGCGCCAGGACGTGGACGTTGCACTTGTCAATAGGCTCTGTAACTGCGTCTGAGCATCGCTGAGGGTGTTATTCCACGATTGCCTAAGACTTTAGGGATATTTATGAGCGAATTCACGTCAATTTTGCGGTTATGCACGTACCGAACGCCATCCACGCTCATGGGGAAGCGAATTGTCGGTCCAAGCTCTGGTCACCTGCCCCCAATACGGGTTGTGGAACGACATGATATCGGACTAGGGCCCAATCGAACATAAAAAATGATTTAAATTCACAAATACTCTAGCCATCGTTGACCGGATATCTGATAATGTTTGTATCTGATGTCATGACCAACTGCAAGATCTTCGATGACCCAAGCCATGCCAAATCGCCATGTTATAGGTGATTCATGACATATTCATAAAGCACCTCTCTTGCTTACAACCTCAACTATAACATCATCTCTCAAGATATGGTGAAGCATGTAGCAATTATCGGTGCTGGGGCTGCTGGGATGAGTGCAGCGGAGGCACTTTCGGCACTTTGCAAAGTTACGGTCATTGAGCGCACAAACACATGCGGGGGGATGGCCACATCTGAAAAGATTGATTCGGCAAAGTTCGGTGCATCGTACATAAACGATGGAGTTCAGGGTTGCAGCCCCCAATTTGCTAATACCTTCGCTGTCTTCGACACCATCCTGGGATTCAAACCTGCGGATATTAACCTACAAGTCAGCTTTGGACGTGATATTGATGAAGATTTTTGGAGCAACGTATTCCCAAGCAATGTCATTGACAAGTTTGTACTCATTCTTAACCGTTTCTACTCCCTCTGATTCACTCCAGGTATACCGCCGACATTCGAAAGTTCGGGAGAGTGCTCAAGGTCATCAAGAGCGTGGAGCCCGTTTTTGGACTGATCCCGGTCGATGTCATGCTCAGCATGTTTCGTTTTTCGCCGGTATGTCAAGTATTGTTGCCACTTTCAGCATCTAATAGCCTACAGGGCTTTGGAGATGTCATTGTTTACCCTTTAGTTGCTCTATTCATGGTATGATGATGTTTCTCAACATCTCAAGAGAATAAGACTAAGGTATCTGAAAGGGAACGGGACAACAAACCCCCTATGTGTCTTCCGTCATCCTGGAGCGCCTTTTCCTGGATCCTTCTATGAAATTGGCAAGTCATCTACTTATTCGAATAGCCCGCACGACTTATTTCGCTGCAGTTTGAATTCTCACCAGAATCATTTCTGGCGTCCATACCTCCAATGAAAGCTTTTCCTCGCCTATCAGAGGTATACACTACGTGGAAGAACCGACTTCAAGCTAAAGGTGTAGAGTTCCTCTTGGAGACGCAGGCCATTTCTGTACTTCGAAGGAGAGATGGCGTAACCCTGTCGGTACAAAGCGTCAAGAATTCCAATACTCTTCATGAAAATGAAACATTGGGTGAAATTAGACAACTTCAATTCGATGAGATGATTCTCGCCTGTGATGCGAACACGGCGCTGAAGATCCTTGGTACTGAGGCTACCTTCATGGAAAAGAGAGTCCTTGGAAACGTCAAAGTACGTAAATCAACTATCGTGGACACCTATTTGTATGCTAACGATGACCAGTATTTATACGATGTCTCTGTGACTCATTGCGATAGAGATTATATGGAAAAGGTCTGTAAAACCGTCGAATGGCCGATTGATATCAACATTTCTGCATAGTACTATCAACTGGACTTTAAAGAAGAACTCTTTTCTTCGGAACGTAAAGACAATCCGAAGGAACTTGAGAAGATGGATTACGCTAAGAAGAACTTCAAACCATTATACTTTATTCGGAGTTATCCAGCAGACAAGCGCAAAATAGAAATGAGCTTCGACCTGTATGGTGCATTTCGTTTTCCTGCACTTTCTATCGCTCATCTTATGCAGCACTAATTATCAACCTCAATTCGATGACCAAAGTCAAGGGCAGGAGGGCTCAAACGCGAAACCACATGTTTATCAAACCATTTTTTTGGATAAAGTATGGCAGAATCTGTACAGCTTTCTCGCGCTGACAAGGAATGATAGGACAACAGTAGCCATTTGTGGACGGAATCCGAAATCAACCCAGAATCAGTCATCTTGAAGAAATGGTGGAAGCAGCAGTCACACCGATGGCAGCACTATGGGGGCACTGTTCCTTGGGTAAACTGCTTTCTCATTAAAGCTATTGGCTAGTAATATGCTGATGTGTTTGGACGAAAGATGATGTGGATCAACGGGAAAAATCATACATATTATTGTGGCGCTTGGACCGTATTGAGTACGTTTGCTCAGTCGATTGGAGACACTGCTAAGGATCCAACAGACATGCATGAAATAGCCATCGCATCGGGGTTCGCAGCGGCCTACCAGTTGGGTGCAGAGTAAGTATCTTGCTATATCTATATCTTATCCTCAATCTATACCCAGATACCCATTTAAAGATAATGACGAGGCGCGTCGTCTATTTGCTCTTGTCTTGGGAGCAAATTATGGCAAGCGGATGAAGCGCCAGTATCGAAAAGGCTTCTTCTACTAGGAGTACATCAAC